TATATTAATTCTCTGCAATCTTTTTTGGCAAACAGAAGCAAAGAGAATACTTCCCAAGTTACTCTGTGAGGCCAGCATTATCTTAATACCAAAACCAGGGAAAGACAAGGAAACTATAGACCCATATCTCTTGTGAACATAGATGCAGAAATCCTTAACAAAATATGAGCAGATCATATCTAGCTATGTAGAAAAAGAATTTCATACCATGACCAAGGGAGATTTTACCCAGGTGCACAAGGCTGATTCAACATTCAAAATCAATTATTGTAATCAATCACATCAACACCTGCTGGCGCTAAAAATAACTCCCAGCAAACTGGGAATAGAAGGGACCTTAAGGAATATCTACAGAACTCTACAACCACCATTATACTTAATGCTGAAAAACTAGAAGCTTTCCTGCTAAGACTAGGAACAGGGTAAAAATGTCCCCTCTCACATCTTTTCTTTATCACACTAGAAATCTTAGCTAATGAAATAAGAAAAGCGAAAAAAGATATGAAGTTTGGGAAGGAAGTCAAAATTGTCTTTGCTTGCATGTAAGATGGTTGTCCATGTAGACCACCTGAAAGATTTGACCAAAAACAAAACTAACAAAAACAACTCTTGGAACTAATAAGTGATTGTAACAAGGTTGTAAGGATATAAGGTTAATATACAAAAGTTAATCACTTTTCTATATAGCAGCAATGCACTAGTGGGATTTGAAATTAAAAACAATGCCATTTACATTACTATCCAAAAAGTGAAATACTTAAAAATCTAACAAAATATGTGTAAGACCTATAGAGGAAAACTACAAAACTCTGATGAAAGAAAATTTAAAAGGAACTAAATAAATGGGAAGATATTCCCAATTTATGTATAGGAAGACTCAGTACTATCAAGATGTTGGTACTTCCCAAATCAATCTATAGATTTAACGTAATTCCACTCAAAATCCCATCAAGTTGTTATGTAATAGTCAAACTGATTCTAAAGTTTATATGGAGATGCAAAAGACCCAGAATAGCCAACACAGTATTGAAGGAGAAGAATAAAGCTGGAGGACTACTGACCCTACCTAACTTTGACTTCCTATAAAGCTATGGTAATCAAGGCAGTATGGTATTGGTGAAAAAAATAGCCTAGAAATAGGTCAACCCACTTAAATATACAGTCATCCTTCAACATCCATGGTGGGGATTGGTTCCAGGACTCCCCATGGACACAGATGCTCAAGTCCCTTATATAATATGGTGTAGTATTTGCATATAACCCACATCCTCCCAAATGCTTAAGTCATTTCCAGATAACTTATAATTACTGCAATTTAAATACTATGTAAATAATTGTTCTACTATGTTTAATGACAGTAATACAGTATAATACGGTAATAATAATGTCATTAATGGAATAATGACAAGGAAAAACAGTGTCAGTACAGATGCAACCATCCATTTTTTCCCAAATATTTTCTATTCATTGTTGGCTGAATCTATGGATGTGGAACCCACAGATAACAGAGAGCTGACTGTATTCAACTGACCTTTGACAGAGGAGCAAAGAAAATAAATTTTAAAAAGATCCTCTTTTCAACAAATTATGCTGGAACAACTGGACATCTATCCACATACAAAAAAAAAAAAAAACCATGAATCCGGACATAGGCTCTCCTACACCCTTCACAGAAATTTACTCAAAATGATCACAGACCTAAATGTAGGATGTAAGCTATAAAACTCCTTGAAGTTACACTAGGAGAAAATCTAGATGACCTTGCATGTAGCAATGGCTTTTCATATACAACACAACATCAAATTCATGATCCATGAAGGAAATAAATGATAAGCTGGACTTCATTACAATTTAAAACTTCTCTGTGAAAGACACTTTCAAGAAAAAGAGAAAACAAGCCACACACTGGGAGAAATATTTGCAAAAGTTATATCTGATAAAGGACTGTTATCTAAATTACAAAAACTCTTTAAAACTTAACAATACAGAACAAATACCCAGTTTAAAAATCAGCAAAAGACCTGAATAGACACCTCACCAAAGCAGATACACAGATGGCAAATAAACACATGAAAAGATAGTTAACATCATATGTCAATAAGAAATTGCAAATTAAAACAAAAATGAGATAGCTCCAGACACCTGTCAGAGGACCAAGATCCAAAACACAGATAATACCAAATGCTGACAAGGATGTGGAGCATCAGGAACTCTCAGTCATTGCTGATAGAAATGAAAATGGTACAGCCACTTTACAAGGCAGTTGTAGATTTCTTATAAAATTAAGCAGATTCTTTTTTTTTTTTTTTTGAGACGGAGTTTCGCTCTTGTTACCCAGGCTGGAGTGCAATGGCGCGATCTCGGCTCACCGCAACCTCCGCCTCCTGGGTTCAGGCAATTCTCCTGCCTCAGCCTCCTGAGTAGCTGGGATTACAGGCACACACCACCATGCCCAGCTGAATTTTTGTATTTTTAGTAGAGTCGGGGTTTCACCATGTTGACCAGGATGGTCTTGATCTCTTGACCTCGTGATCCACCCGCCTCGGCCTCCCAAAGTGCTGGGATTACAGGCTTGAGCCACCGCGCCCAGCCTGCAGATTCTTACATACAGTTCAGCAGTTGCGCTCTTTGGTTGAAAATTTACATCCACATGAAAACCTTTGCATGAATATTTACAGCTGCTTTATTCATAATAGCCCAAACTGGAAAGCGGTCAAAATGTCCTTCAGTAGGTGAAATGGTTAAATAAACTCGTATATCTAGACAGTGGAATACTCTTCAGCACTAAAGAGAAATGAGTTATCTATCAAGCCACGAAAAGACATGGAGGAAACTTAGATGCATACACCAAGTGAAAGATGCTGTTCTAAAAAGGCAGTATGCTATATGATCCAACTGTATGACGTTCTGGAAGAAGGAAAACTACAGAGCCAATGGAAAGATCAGTGGTTAGGAGGAAGAGAGGGAGGAATAGGCAGAGCACAGGGGAATTTTAAAGCCATGAAACTCTTCCGTATAATATTGTAATAGTGGATACGTGTCATTATACTCTGGCCAAAACTCATTGAACATACACCACCATGAGTGAAGCTTGATATAAACGATGGATTTTGAGTGATAATGAAGTGTCCTTATGAGTTCACTGATTGTAACAGATGTACCACTCCAGTGGAGGACGCTGATGGGGGAGGGGTTATACATGGGTGGGGGCAGGCGGTGAAGGAGAGCTCTACTCTCCACCCAATTTTGCTTTGAACCTAAAACTGCTCTAATAAATAGACTATGTTATTTAATGTTATGTGAGGAACATTTAACCTGAGAAAATCTTTACAATATATTATTGATTTTCAATAATTATTAAACAATTTCTCCTCCTTGGTGTTGTTTTTCTCTGCCACTGGTCTTTACCTCTGTCTTGTTTGTTTTGGTTTTTGAAACAGGGTCTTGCTCTGTCATGCAGGCTGGAGAGCAGTGGTGTGATCATAGCTCACTGCAGCCACAGACTCCCAGGCTCAAGTGATCCTTTCACCTTAGCCTCCTGAGTAGTTGGGACCACAGGCACATGCCACCATGCCTAGCTAATTTTTTTTTTATTTTCCTTAAAATATGAAAATAGGGAGACAGTGTCTCCCTAGGTTGCCCAGGCTGGTCTCAAACTCCTGGCCTTAAGCAGTCTTCCCACCTTGCCTTCCCTGCGTGGACTTCTCTGTTTTACTCACAACCATAACCCTACCTCCTAGTAGAGAGCCTGGCATATTGTAAAAAATAAATAAATAAATAAATAAGCAACAGTAATAGTTTAATACTGAAATAGTATATTTAATGATGTGTTGGGTGCTGTTAAGTACTTTACATATATATCTACTCATTTAAACTTTGTAACTTTGAAGTAAGTACTTATTCCCAGTTTACAAATGGAGAAACTAAGACACCAGGAGGTCAAGCAACGTGCCCAGATTTACATTGCTAGTAAGTGGTAGAAACGGAATTTGACCCCAGGCTGCATGATCTGAATGTTTGCTCTTCATCAGTTTATACCACCTTTCCTTAGAAGGCAGTCCACAATATTTTTGATTGGGTGAATGAATGAGTAAATGAGTACGAGTGAAAGAATGAAATGAAAAGGCAACTCTTAATATAGTATTACTAGTCTATGTTTATTTTAAAATGTATCATGTACAGTATCCAAATTTTCACTATTACTAAGAGATGATAAATTGTAGTAAAGTCACACAGTGGAATATTATTTAGCAATGAGGAAAGTGAGTTACAACTACATATATCAGCGTGTATGATTCTCGTGAGCAATGTTGAGCAAAAGAAGCCAGACCCTAAAGAGTATCTGTTTACTGTTCCATCTATACCAAGGACAAAAGAGGCACAAGTAACCTGTACCATAGAAGTCAGAATGCTGGGAACCCTCTGGGAGGAGCTGGAAGGGCACCACGGGGGGCTTTTTGGAAACAGGAGTGTTCTCCCCTTTATCTGGTGCTGGTTACATGGGTGTGTTCCATTCGTAAAATTTATTTCAGCTATACATGTATATCTGCAGTTTTTTTGATTGGTAAATTCTACTTTAATAAACAGCTCTTTAAATGGCTAAGTTCGAAAAAAGCGTCAAAAAGATAAATATGAGTTTGAAAGTATATTTGCACAAAACATTCATTAACTGTAGATTTTTTTTGGCAACAGTGCTATGAGTAATTTTCAGTTTTATTTTCGAGAGTTCTTAGGTTTTTCATAAAATTGTCACATATTACCTGTGTAATTTGATTTCTAAAATGTGATTAAAATGAACTTGCCCCAAAATTGACCTATGCTCCCACTCATGCGTTGGGCACGTGGGTGTTGGCCCCTGATGGGTGATAGCAGGGACACCAGCCCACTGGCTACCTTGCTTGCCTGCCTGCTTCAGTCACAGTCTTTCAAGCCTCATAGGACATTCATGGATTTCTAATCAGTGTTTTGTGTTTGTCTTACATTTTTACTCCCTTTTCCAGGCTGAACAGTCAAAAGAAGAGCAGAAGCAAGGTTTGAATGCAGAGAAATTGATGAGGCAAGTCTCCAAGGATGTGTGTCGGCTCCGGGAGCAGAGCCAGAAGGTGCCTCGGCAGGTGCAGTCCTTCAGGTGAACGGCCCCATCCAGGACAGCTTTTGCATTGTCCTCACGTGGTCTGGTTTTGTAGGAATTCTCCTCAGTGCAGCGAAAGTTAATATTAGGATCTGAGAGAGAAATCCCCTGTTCCCCACTTTGAATATATAATTTTCCGTTTGCACCTTCCTGAGGTGATAAATGTGACTGATAGAGTTAAAGACTGATGAAAGCCTATGTCCCCCCAAGAACCCAGGGTGTCCGCAGCTCTTGGTAGCTCTTAGCATATCTCACTGGGCTATCTTCACACAGGTTACAAAGGTACAGAAAACCCAGATATCTTTGGACTTTTGTTCACTCATTTTCCAGGCATTCCTTGGGCAGCCCCATAAGCCTTGCACTGTGTCAGGCCCTGAGATACGGAGGCTAAGAACATGTGTGTTCTGCTCTTCTGGGGGGGCCCTGGGCTGTAGCGGGGACAGGTGTGTAACCAGGTCATTCAGTGCATGTGGAAAGAGCTAACTAAAGGTATAGGTAGGGACCTGTGAGAGATGCAGGAGGAGCCTCAGTTTGTGTGGGGCAGGTGCTGGGGCTGCGGGCACCAGCAGGAGAAGGTTATAAGAGAACCCATCATGAAAGGGTGGCTGCGAGCTCCTTAGGCACCTAGAGGTGGCAGTTTGGAGTGGGACATGGAGGCAAGAAGAAAAGCACTGATAGAGGCACAGACCTTAGAAGTCAGTCCCTAGCTCTGTGGCGCATGGGGAGTTGCCAGCTGGTGAGCCTGCCTGGGAGAGCTGGGCTCAAACTACACAGGCCTTGGGTGCTGTGCAGGCTTCCACCTGTGGTTCCAGATGCTGGGGGAGCCAGCAGGGCTTTCCCTGCACAAAAGTAAATGATGGGGTTGGGCTCTGTGTGGGGCAGACATCAGAGCCATTGTGGAGAGTGAGTGGGGAGAAATGGGTAAGGATGCCCAGTTAGGTTCATGGGAGGTTCATGGGGGGAGTCGTTGCCCTGTGATACCAGCACTCCACATGGAGAGCGCTGAGGACCAGGGGTATGAGGATGATGCTGACCTCTGCCATGGGCACACCAGGCAATGCCAGCAGGCCAGTGAGGTAACCATGACCAGAGACAAGTGGGAGTAAAAATCCAAAGCCGGGGTTAGGGGTCAGTATGGAGATTTTAAAATGGGAGTGCTCATCATCGATGCGTGGTCCCATCAGTGGAAATGGAACAGACATCCCAGAAAACGTGAAGGTGGCGGGAAGGAGGCCTGGTGGGCACCAACCACTGAAGGGCACACCCCAAAAGAGATACTAGAAGGAATGGCTGGAGAGGTCAGAGGTCGGGGGCCTGGGGCCGAGGGTAGGGAGAGGAGATCGATGGAGAGAACTGAAAAGCACACTTGGGATCTGAGCATACCAGGGATGTTTTCAGTCCCGTCGGAGGGAGCTCAGCAAAAAGGTTTGCTCATACTGGGTTTTGGTTTGGTTTTGGTTAGTTTTGTATAGATGCATCTTTGGAAAGCATTTAGGCTAAGCAGCAGAAGCCCAGAAGAAGCGGGTGTTTTTGAAGTCTGGGTAAGGTAGGTCACATGGTGGAGCAGGGACACCTTTGGCAGGCAGGCTGGGGTCCAGTGCCAGGCAGGAGGGCAGGGCGACACACCGTGCGGCCGCAGCAGGGTGTCTTAGTAGGCTTGCAGCTCTTTCATTTTTATGTGACATCTTGTAGTAGAGGGTTCTTCCACCCTCTTTTCTGCCAAAGAAGCACATTTGTGACTTAGTGAGTACTACGACTTGGGTTTTAGAAGTGCAGGTGAGGAGAATCCATTCATGCCTTTGGTGCTGTGGTCACTCTGAGAGTGGGCAGCATTGACGAGCATGGAAAGTCACACAACTCGCAGTTGTTACTGAAACCCAATGGAAAGAATTCATGAACATTCCCAGCTTCTCTTAGGATCCAAAGGCATTACGTCACCAGGCAAGTGATGGGAATGATGAGATGGCCCACAGTAGATAGACCGCGCTGGCAGCACAGCGGCCTGTGCGAGGGATTTGCACAGTTGCCGTTGCCTGGCCTGGGGTGGTGAGAGACTGCGCAGTGGTGGGGTCTGGGCGTTCTGCCCAGCACCACCCCAGCCGCTTGTTTCTCCTGGAATCAGGAACACGATGGTCCCTGGCCTTCTTATTTTTCAAGAGAAGTTAGAAATCAAGAATTCGATGGGAAGTGTCTCCAATGCAGGCACTGGCAACTCACTCAGGTATTTTTTAACACCCCAGTTGCCAGCTGCACTGAAGGCCTCCAGTGACATCATGCCCACACTCTTGGCGCGTTTCGTTCTTGTTTCCCTCTTACGGAATTGAGCAAATGTCAAGGACACTGTTCATAGCAGTAGCTCATTCCAGTGTCCACAGCGTTTTCTCTCCTCGTTTTCTTCTCTATCCTTCCTCAGTCTTCGGAACACCCCGCCTCAGCTCTGGTTTCTAACCTGCACCTCCTCCTCCTCCATCTGGACTGTTCTTTCACAAGGGAGGTCCAGCGTGCCCCTTGCATGTAATATGCGCTGAGGTAATATGTGCTGACGGCATGTCATGTACAGTGTGAAGTTTTGTAGGAAAATAGACACACTGTCTTTTTTTTTTTTTTTTTCTCCCCAGTATGCTCGTCACCTGAAAGCCACTCTGCCCTTTCTCAGCTTCTCCTCTGCTTTGGGACAAGGGCAGTTACTGCCTGTCAGATAGTAAGCTCCTCCTCCTCCTTTAATTTGTGTTGTGGTATCACTCATCAGGTTGTGCCTGCCTCGGCATGGTATCAATTTTAAAGATTTTCCCAGTATTATATACTTTCCTGAGAGGTTACTGAAAAGTTTCCATGTAGAATTTTGGGCCTTTTGAGCCCTCTACTGCCTAGTTTGGAAACACTCATCCTAGACCAAATCCCTGCTAGTTTAAAAACTGCCTCCTGATGGAGGTTCCCTGAAGGGAACTTAGTGGCTTGGTCTGTAGGTGACTTCCGTGAGCCAGAGCTGCTGTTCTCCTTGATACCCTACATTTAGCAGGCAGAGGCTCTCTTGATTTCAAATGGAGTTTTGCTTAAGGGAAAAAGCTCCTGCCTGTGCATGTAGAGACATCACCGCCCCTGCAGGTCATGGGGATTGTTTTGATGGTCCTAGATAATTTTTAGTATCATATGTAAGTCAATTTATTTCTCACTCCAAATCTAGGGAGAAGATTGCCTACTTCACCAGAGCAAAGATAAGCATCCCATCCCTGCCGGCTGATGATGTGTGATTATGTGGCTTAAGAAATTATTTTTCATCTGTTCACTTTCTTAGGGAGGGTAAAAGACTGAAGATCTGTTTGATTTTTGTTTTGGTGTTTGTTTTTTGTTTTGTTTTGTTTTTGGTAATATGACTGTCAACTCTTGAAGGACTTCTATTTCACATTAGATTTTCAACACGTTAATTTGTAAAATACCTTGAGTGTAATTTTTATATGCTTAAAAAAGAAAAAATTGATAAGAAAAATGGGATAATCTGATACACAAATGTTGCCCAGTATGTACGTATTGCCAGTGGGCTTTCTTTTGTAAAAATGGAATGTAGGCAGGACCCCACGTGTGTACCGTTGAGCCGACTGGAGAAAGAACTTGGTAGTTTTGCTTCTCCTTTGCATTGCTGTGAGTAGGCTGTGCCGATGGCAGCAGCGCCACGTGGCATCTGTGCACCGGCGAGGAGAGGAGCGCTTTCCATTTGGAGGGCAGCGTGAGCATGAGCTGGAGTGCAGCGTTCCAAGTCCATTCAAAATGGGTGGTGCATTCATGGCCATCACCTGTGCAGGAACACCTGATTTTCTTAAAACAATTTCCTGTTTGTCCTTTTGTATTTTTCTAAAGAAAACTAAAATATAAACTACCAAATGCTCTTAAGAATATAAGTGTACAAAGCAGCACTGCTCTTGGCTACACTAAAGATCTTGGGATTCATGACACTGAGGGCAGGGAGAAGAAAGAACACCAGCCGTGCAGAGACACATGCAAATAAGCTCATCAAATGAGCAGCTGCTTTCTCTCACTCGGCCTGACTTTGCATAAATGTTCAAATGTGAGTTTCTGGCTTGCACCAGTGGTTTGTCCTAAGTCTAAGCATGGTGCCAAGTGGAGGCCCTGTGTTCTGAGGACAGAGGGAGCTGGAGGTGTGGATGGAAACACATCAGCACTCATTTGGTGTAACCAGGAAGAGAGGAAACAATGTCTTGATAGAATCAAAGTTGCCAAAAACAAAAAAGAATTTATCAAGCAGATTTCTAACATTTAGTAGAAATTACTTCATAGCTCTCATTTTTAGGGGATTCGATCTATAATTTATGGTAAATAGTTGGGAGGCAAAGGGAAGACTGTGCCTGGGGGGATTATTAATCTGAAGAATAAGCTAAGCTGTTTATAAAAAAGACGATTTTGGATGAACAAGTTTAGAGATATAAACTGACTAATGTGTCTTCCAGTTTAGAATTTCAGCTTACCCAACCCAGGCACATCTTAAAAAAACAGATCCTCAGTGCAGCTCTGACAGCATCAAAGCTTTTAAAATAAATAGTATTTAGGCCATTTAAACCATACTTACCACTCAGAAACAATTTTGGGTTCACCATCTAATATAGCAAATGAAATCAATTTTTTTAAGAAATGCAAAATTGTCTTAAAGGTATGGACCTCTTAAAGAAAAACAAATGTGTTCCTAAGTTAGAATGCTCACTAGCAAGAATTTTTATTTTCTTGAAATCAATTATATATGTTTTGGAAAGTTCATGTTATTGGAATCGAAGTTCAAATTAAGCAACTTCTGAGCCTAGAACTTTATTTTTTCCTGAATGTCCCACCACTTAATACAGATTTCTCTGAAGACATAACTGGACATGACAGACACTACTTTCAACAAAAACCAGCCCAGGGAATTGACTGCACACAGTCCTGTAAGGCTGCTCAGTTCATTCTATTAGATGACTAAGGAAAACTAGAGAAAGAACACAGTTCACCCTGTCAAGGTCAAATGTGAAAGGCAGAAGTTTATTTAACATAGAGGTAAATGAAGGTGAGCTGTTTCCAGTCTTAGTTTGACCATGAAAATGTCTATAGAATTATGTGTAGTTGTTCCATACAATTTTATTTTCTTCATTTATTTATTTACAGTCTTATTTATGTTCTGTTTAATATATAGTTTGATTCTGGCCATTTAAAATATTTGACACAGAAGAGACTATATTGGAATATTTACAGCTTTATAAGTCTTTCATCAGATTAGCTGTTGACTTTTTGTAATACAAAAAGTTTCAGACAAGTATTAAAGAATAAAATCTGTCTCAGGCCGGTAGTTAGCAGTTGTGACCAAGATGCTTTTGGTTGTTGTATTTTACAAAATTTCCTCATTTCTAACATGAAAGATGAACTTATTTTAATATAATCCTTTTTCTACACTTTAAAAGTCAGCAATAGTGTTATGTATTTGTAGGCAGCTTTTAATAATCTTGTCATATTTGTACTAACCCAAATGATCACAGTGACAAAACATTTTAATAACTTGATCACAAAACCATATGGACAAATATGAATTTTAATATTATAAATACTATTTTTAAAAGGCAGAATTTATTCACACAGGGTAAAAAAGAATGTAATATTTAGTTCTCAAGTTTGAATTATCAGTATATTATTACAATTTTGTATATCAGAATCTTAAGTGTTACAGGTACAAAAAGAATATTGCTAGCCAAATGAACAAAGTTTAGCTGAATCTCTGTAGCATGCAAATCAAATTAATTAAATTTTTTTGCTATTGCTTTATCTATATTGTATTAACTACCAAAAGCTCAGGACTGAACTAAATATTTAATCAGGTTAAATTCTGAACATGTTTCTGTCTTAATTTGTCTTGTTTGTAAACGTATGCAAATACATCACATAGATTAACTTTGGTTTCTGCACTTTCCATGTGTTTGTGGGTGGAAAAAAATTCAGTGGGTTTTTTTTTAAAAAACAAAAAACAAAGATACATATTGCCTAACACTCTATTTCAGTGTCGTTTATTGTTCAGTTTATTTCCCTGATTGGCACAAATACAAGAATTTCCTTGAGCCATGTACCAAGCAAATACAAAATATTTCATGAAGAAATCTCCAGGCCAACAGTTTGCGATGAATAGTTCTTGTTGGAACTATGTGTATTGCTGATAAAAAGGAGGAAGTATTTTCATTGTGCAAATAAAATGAAGGGCTCCGGAATATGTGCTCTGTCGTCGCACCGTCTGGGCTGGCGGTACGCTGCACGGTGAGGCAGCCTTCCCAGGAGGCTCTCCACCCGCACACCTGGCCTGGCCTGCCGCGCGCCCCTAGGCTGCAGAGCCGGGGAAGCCAGAAGTGCTGCCCATCAAATACAGAGCACAGGACGCAGAAGCACGATTGTGCGGCCCAGTCTACGTGACTCATCCAAAGCACAAGATGGCCCTCCTGCTTCTGACATAGTAAAGAAGGCATGATTGAAGGTGGCTGCATTTTGAAAAAAGGCTTCATGGAGACACTGAGATCTCTGACTCCGAAGGAGATGTGTCTACACCTTTTACTTCTAAAGCTTTTAAGGAGCCAATGATAATTTAATATAATAAGATGTCATGCATTTTAAATGAATATGCAACAGGACCTCAGGTTTATCGTACTAGGTTACCTTAAACACCTGAAAGAAGTACATGAATGCCAAAATGATTCAGCTCCATATGAATAATACCTTCAAAGGTACATAAGGATTAATTTAATGCTTTATTTACCACTTCTATGCAGTCACCATTTTAAAATCGAGAAAACTCATCCACGGTAATGGGTGTCATTACTATTAAGTCTTGATTGGTTTTGGTCTCAGAGTGGAAGATAGAAGTGGTTCACCAGTCCTAGAAAGAAATTATAGTTTACTAGCCACAGGAAAAAATGCATTTTAGAAAATAAGAAGCATAGTGAGATGATGATAGTGGGAAATCCTACCAAACCCAGCATTGAGCTGGCTCCTCCTGCACAGCAGACGCTTGTCGTTTCTGGCTTAGTTTTTCAGGCTGGTGTTTCTCGTCTCCAATTGCTGATGATCATCTTCCATTTGTACCACTGCACAGTGGCCCGAAGCTAGGGGAACATGGCTGGAGCAGGCTGCACAGTTGAGCAGACACCCTCCTAGTACAAGAGAAAGTCCAGCAAACCAGCCCAGAAAGAGGGCCTCCCCAAACTCCCACCTGGGGACAATGTCTGGGACGGTCTCATCCCAGAACTCCTGAACTGTCGTGTGGGCAACCCAAGAGACAGGAACCAGGGCTGTGATTCCCGAGGTCCAGGACAGAATTCCTCCCAGGATTAGCAGTCGCCTCTTGAGATCTCTCTGACTCTCTCCAATTCTCAAACAGTCCAGGCCAAACCCGGACGCCAGCAGGCCCAGAAATCCCAGCCCATTTGACAGAAACATTAAGATCCTGGAGATCCTGAGTTGAGCAGGCAAAGCCAGGAAGGAGTCAAAGTCCTTGCACTGCATCCCCACTTCCTCTTGGACAACACAGGTTTGCCAGAGTCCCATGGTCCAGTTTTCCATTTCATTTAAGTCCAGGTTGAGGTTCTTCCAGTGTGGCAGGTAGTTTGTAAGACAGGATAAAACCCATCCCAGCAAAGATAACGAAACTCCAGCTAGTTGAGCCACAGTTCTAAATACTAAAGCCATTAGAATATCCCGAGCGCTTTAGCCAAACTAACACCTGCCCTTCGGTTGCTGTGAAAAGAAGTGTGACATTCGTGCTGTAACTTATGAAACTCAGAAATATTTCTTCATTGTGTATATAGGAGGATTCTTGCCAGAGTGGCTATTGTTTGATTCCATGTTGAATGGGTTTCAGGAAAGGATAGGGAAATAATGTTGCAAACCAGTAATGCCAAGGTGTGGCCGAGATCATGTTTGTGTCCTGTGGGCTGGATTTTGCAGAAAGCAGTTTGTCACTGAAATGTAATTAAGTGATAATAATCCTTTCATGGTTAAGGTGAAAATGGCTTTCATGTTATTCCCAACCTTTCTAAGAGTCAAACAATGAAGAAGTCTAAATACAAAACGTTTAACTGATGGTTTTGGTTCAGCTCCTCCTGCTTTGTATTTCACTAATGCACCTGTCAGATTTTCACCTATTTATAGTCCTCACATTTCAAATGTGCATGTTATGGTAATACTGTTATTTTTTTAAAAAATAAGTTCAAGGAAAGTATTTCTTAACCAAATATATCAGTCTTACCAGAAATCTCTCTACACCTGAACTCAGGCCTGTGTTTTAGAAATTCCTCAGGCTACATATACCACATGGCATATGAAACGATACTGAACTACATGTCTAGCTTATTTATCTGCATGCCTTTCTGTCACATTCATGCTTGTGTGCATAAACACTTTTTTTTCTTGCATATGCTTTCTTTGCGGCAGAAAAAATTCAGCAGTAGGATTGTAGGTTAGAGTCAGAATTTCTGTTTATTCACCACTGAAGTATATATCCCCATGTTAGTAATTTTTCATTGAACAAAGGAAAGTTTTCATTAGATGACCTGAGAATTTCTGGATATCAAGAAAAATATCTTTGGAATTGTTTTTCTTTTTTTAATATGAAAGTTTTGAGGGAAAGGATGAGAGAAGAGATTGGTCAGCATTTTAAATCTGAGAGTATCAGAAGGTTCTGAAAACCTTTCAGCCTCATAAAATCCTGTCTCACCGAGTGCCTGGTAATATCCTAAACACAAACCACTTCTGTTCAAAGAAGAAAAAAGTCATTGTTGTGGATTTGCGGTTGCTTAGCATGTGGTCTTACTAATGTAGAACACTTAAAAGTTTTCAGACTGTTAGTTTTTTTTTCTTTAGGAAACAAACTAATGATCATTTCTATCTAACAACAACAAAAAACAGAAAAATCTTTCTAATATGAAATTTACACATTAAAGCTTGAAACTGACTATATTGGACAGCCATCACCATTTTGATTTCAATAACCCGATCAATTAAGCTCAGCTCACTTCTACCTATGTAATGCTTACCATAATCATTTTCTTTTAGACGTAAGATTTTCCTTCATTATTCGGCAGATTTTTGGGGGCAGTGGGCCTACCTATTGTAGAAAAATGGTTACTGAATGAGAAAACGTGAGCATCACAGATTTAGCTATAAAACAAAGACGTCTTTGTCATCACAGTTGATACAGGATACAGCTCCCGCCTTGTTGAAGTCTTACACTTGAGGATCTGCAGTTCCATCTTCCAGGTAAGGACACTGAGTTTGCATTTGCACCACTGCATAGTGGCCCGAAGCTAGGGGAACGTGGCTGGAGCAGGCTGCACAGTTGAGCAGACACCCTCCTAGTACAAGAGAAAGTCCAGCAAACCAGCCCAGAAAGAGGGCCTCCCCAAACTCCCACCTGGGGACAATGTCTGGGACGGTCTCATCCCAGAACTCCTGAACTGTCGTGTGGGCAACCCAAGAGACAGGAACCAGGGCTGTGATTCCCGAGGTCCAGGACAGAATTCCTCCCAGGATTAGCAGTCGCCTCTTGAGATCTCTCTGACTCTCTCCAATTCTCAAACAGTCCAGGCCAAACCCGGACGCCAGCAGGCCCAGAAATCCCAGCCCATTTGACAGAAACATTAAGATCCTGGAGATCCTGAGTTGAGCAGGCAAAGCCAGGAAGGAGTCAAAGTCCTTGCACTGCATCCCCACTTCCTCTTGGACAACACAGGTTTGCCAGAGTCCCATGGTCCAGTTTTCCATTTCATTTAAGTCCAGGTTGAGGTTCTTCCAGTGTGGCAAATAAGTTGTAATAATGGATAAAATCCATCCCAGGAAAGATAATAAAAGTCCAACAAATTGCATCGCTATCCTAAAGATTAAAGCCATTGCCACAAGTCTTAGAACTTTGCCGCCCCTATAGGAGCTGCTGTCTTTTGCAGTGGACAGTAATGTGACGATCTCAGTTCTATGCTGCCTGGAATATAAGCTGTGGTCATTAACTCTTTGGGCACTCTGAAATGCGTTTTTGTTCTTCTTGAATATAATGTTTCATGTAAAGGACGAAGGACTCTGTTAAAACTATGAGTTAGGCTTTCTGATAAGGACTTGATCTGTTACCTTCCAATTTGCTTGGTAAAATTATATCCCCAATGCTTGATGATTATAAGTCTAAAGATGAACAAAGAGGGCTCTATGACCCCTCACCCTAAAATACAACAGAAATCTTTGTGCTTCAATATGGATTAATTAGATTTTAAGTGGTGATAAAAGACCAGCTCTTTCTACAACAGGACTTCATTGTAAGAGCTGAACCTGAGATTTCAGGGATGCAAAACAAGGCCTTGTAAAGAAAGGTAGACTGTTTCCTATAATCTCTATTCTTCTCAGACTTCCTTAACCTACACAAGAGCCTGGCCCACGTCCTCGAGTGTCGCAGGAGCTCAGTAGGACTTGGCAGGAAGGTTCCCAGAGTCCTTTGAAAGGTAGAGGCTGGCTTATGGGGCTGATTAAAATGAAAAGGACCGAGGCTGATGCCAGGGGCTACTGAGTGCGGAAGGGAACGTCCCGGAAAGTTCCAGCATTCACTCGGGGTTTCTCTATCCTCGTTAAGGACTTGGGGGTAAAGCAGGATGTCTCAGCGTCCAAGGAAGTGTTTTTGTCCAGAGCTGAAGCTGTCCCCATTGTCATTTCAGCAGCCTACACAGAGCAACACCAGGCTTCAAAACTCCTGCCAGCTCCCAGACAAAAGTCTCTGGTACAAACACAATAGCCACACCGGGGGTGAGCTTTGAGGCTTCATCTCGTTTATTTTTTTGGTTGAGGCCACACCTTGAGAGCATACTTCTGCAGAGGGTGACCCCTCGGAGAACACAGGGCTGGCCTCACAGGCCAGGACAAGAGGTCACCTGCCCCAGATTCCCAGGGCTGCACTGCCTCCCCTCTGCGTCTCCTCTCCCCTGGGCATCCTGCACCTGCTCTGAGGAGATAAAATCAGATGGGCCCACAGGACGGAAAGGTCTGGAGGAAAGGTCTCTAAAGGTGGAGCCACTGCCCTGGGAGGCTCCAACCTGGAGAAATAGAACCACTGCCCACACATTGCAACAGTTAAGTGGAGTCCAGGATCAGAGATGATCTTGTATCGTGTCTCTAGGAGATCGGAGAGACAGAACCTGGATCCCGATGTATCCAAATTACTTTGAATAAGATTGCATAAGATTTAGATTTGGAGTGGTACTGTCTTCAGCTTTTCCCATCATCTTAAGTTTAAAAAGTATGCCACCAGCTGAACTCTTCCTTAATTTTTACAAATTTTCAGAGTTCCTGAGGATATACTGGTGCCCTCACCATCCTGAAATAAGTCATTCCAGGATGCAAAAAGATACCCGGATCCAGAAGGACAGAGACCTGTGTGGGGCCTTATCACCAGTGGACGGGATATGGCAAACTAGAGCTCTCTTCCAGGAGGCAGTCAGGGCAGCAGAAGACCTGGAGGGCAGGCATGCACGATCACAGGGAGATGATCCTTAATATCACATTGAAACAGTTTTTGAAAACCTAATGGAGTAGGCTGCTCTGTGACATGGTGAGCTCTCCCTGCTACGGGCATCTAAGCTACAGGTTCTCACCTGCCCGAGTTACCACGGAGGGGTTTCTGCTGTGGTGGGAGTTGAGCCTACATCACCTCTTAGCACTCCCCCAACTCATTTATTCTTTCAGCATTAAAAAAAAATGTCGTGAGCCCCTCCTGCCAAGCAGGTACTGAGTGTTGAACAGTATGGTTCGACCCCTCCCCTTTGGGCTCACAGTCGCTCAAGAGGCCATCAGGAAACAAGAGGACTGAAAGAAGTCAAAAGAGCTGGGGTATGAGTGTTCCAGGCAGACGTGCAGAGGCAACAGCCCTGAGGCAGGCATCTGGGCAGGAGTGGAAAACCTGAAGGCAGTCTGGATGTGGCGCTGGGAGGGTTCCCACTGGTTCCCACCCCATTTCAGTTCCTGAATCAGCTGCTGAGAGGTTGCTCACAGAGCGGGGATGCAGTGAAATTTGGACAGCAGACATAATTATCACCATGTTGTGCAGGGTGTGGGGGCTACATTGTGTCTGGCTCAGGATTGTTCATCTACAATATGGGGGTAGACGCATGTATCTCAGAAACAGAACTGGAGAAGTCAGCAGACTGAGGGAAGCTTAGGGTGACCACCATCGCAGTTTGCCCAGGACTGTCAGGATTTTAGTACTGAAAGTCACCCATCCTGAAGAATGCCTCAGTCCAGGGCAAGGGTTGATAAACATCCCGTAATAAGCCATCCCAAAACTTAGGCACTAAAACAACAATCATTTCTCATTTCTATGTGTGTGTGTTTTTTGTTTTTTGAAACAGAGCCTTGCTCTGTCACCCAGGCTGGAGCACAGTGGTGTGATCTCAGCTCACTGCAGCCTCCGCCTCCCTGGTTCAAGCAATTCTCCTGCCTCAGCCTCCTGAGTAGCTGGGATTACAGGCACGCACCATCGCACCCAGCTAATTTTTGTAATTTTAGTAGAGACAGGGTTTCAAGCTGTTGGCCAGGCTGGTCTCGAACTCCTGACCTCAGGTGACCCACCCACCTCAGCCTCCCAAAGTGCTGGGATTACAAACGTGAGCCACTGCACCCAGCTGGCCATTTCTATGTATTTTGCTCATGAATGTGCAGCTTGGGACTCAGCAGGGACCACTTGTCTCTGCTCTGGGTGGCATCAGCCCAACTGGGGGCTGGAAGGTCCCTTTTCAAGGTGGGTTGCCCACAGGGCAGACTACCAGCAGGGAGTTCAGCCTCTATTGTCATGTAGGGTACAAAACCACACAAACAAGACCACCTCAAGCCAAACTGTAGCCAGACTGCTGCTGTCAGCAGCCCCCACCTCACCGGCTGGCAATAGGAGCTGTGGACCCTGGCCCTGCAAGAGAGGGTTGAGGAAGGACCAAGTCAGAGGCCCGAGATGTCCAGCAAAGGCTTTGGATCCTGAAGTCAGCAGAGAAGCCAAATCTTTCGTTGTCAAAATTACCCTTTAAAAATCCCTTAAGCACTGGAGATCAATGCACATCTCTCTCCAAGCCCGGCTGGCTGGGACCTTCTCTGACAATGGGCAAGTTTACTCTGGGCACACAGGTTGAGCACAAAAAGAAGAAACAGGCCTGGTTTGGCATCTTGTGGGAAGAGTATCTGCTGAATCTGAAGGCAGCAGACTCCAACGAGGAGGGCACTGGGAGCACCTGGGACATCACAGGTGTTCCCGGAAGCCTTCCTCTGCAGCGCCCAGCAATGCTGCCAGGAAGAGCCTCCCTCTCTCCTAGGAGACACAGGCCTCCCCGGCACTTTGATACACAGGTGAAGATGAGGGATTCCTCTTGCCAAACACGATTTTATCTGATTAAAATATGTTTTGGTTTTTTTTTTTTTTTTTTTGAGATGGTGTCTCGCTCTGTCACCAGGCTGAAGTACAGTGGCGCAATCTCGGCTCACTGCAACCTTCACCTCCCGAGTCAAGTGATTCTCCTGCCTCTGCCTCCCTAGTAGCTGGGACTACAGGCGTGCACCACCATGCCCCGTTAATTTTTGGTTTTGTTTTTGTATTTGTTTTTTCTCAGTAGAGACGGGGTTTCACCATGTTGGCCAGGATGGTCTTGATCTCTTGACCTTGTGACCCGCCTGCCTCGGCCTCCCAAAGTGCTGGGATTACAGGTGTGACCACCGTGCCCTCCTTAAAAGAAAATTTATATTTTATTTTTTCTTAATATTTCTTATCCTACTAAATAGTAATTCACAGTGCTAATTCTATTAAGCTCATTATTAAGGACGAGACATGCTGTTACCCTCACAACCCCACAGCCCTCATAGCACAATACCTTGTATCTGCTATGTGTTCAACAAATATTTGTCTAATAAATGGATTAGAAGGATCCTTCTAAATGATAGTGAAAGTAAATATAGAACGCCAACACTATAGATGCCATTCCCATTGCCAGTGGCTTTTCATCATGGTGACAAAGCCAGCTGTCCTGGAGTGTCTGAGCATGAGTAACGGACTTAA